ACTTTCGTCCATCAAATGATGGACATCATCAGAACTGGGTTTCATTCTTGTAAGAGTCTCACATTAACACTAAAGCAAGAACACTATCCGGCTTCATCTGTTGAGATCGACAAATGAATCTCTTCTTCATGTACCTTCATTCAAAATGAAGGTCCCCCTAACAATGTTATCTCAGGAGATTCATCGAAACCAAGTTTCTCTTCGTATCTACGATTTACTGATAGTCTGGAAACTCTTCGTATAACGTAAAATAAGGCAAAGAAAGCCACAAGTTTGTCCATGTGCTGCCTAACTCATTGACGACACAGTCGGCTAGGCACAATCGAATTCATGAAGGAATTTACCTCGGTTTTATGAATTATGCCTCTTTTAGCTAAGACATTTGGTGATGAGGTTACTCAGGAATCTATGGCCACTCTGTATATGTATATTTCATGGGATTCAGAAGTGTTCGGTAAGCTCCAGTTCTCTTATTTTTTGCATCATTGCGTATTCTAACTACTCGTGAGTTCGTATTTGTTACTGAACTTAATCTCGATCTCGAGAGCCTGCATGGCTAGGTGACAGAAAAAGGCAAATTGGGTGTTTTGCACGAGATTTGCTATATGGTACTCATTACAAAGTAAGCAGGCGTTATTCAGAAAAGAAGGCTAATTGACACCAATTTACACAAGCTTTCGTGCACACGAAATAGCGCACAGATTGAGTCTCTGGTAGAAATCTTGTATTGAGAATTCAGTAAATCTGTAATTAGGTTGTGTTTTACCTGAAGAGATGGGATTAAGTTAAGCAGTGGGCATTAAATCAAAAGCAAATAAGTAATCTTTGGGACAACTGCACAGTGTGGCCAACTTGAGTGATGGCGATCGCGTTTCTGAGAATGTACAGGAGACTATGTGTAAGAGAAGAAGAAGCATCGCATAAAACTGTCTCGCTGAAGTGGGATGCAAAAAAGGGGATTGCGGATGTCTGTGGAAATCATGTCTTGGGTGTGTAAAAGGGGACTAGCCGGATTGGTTCACGCGGGTAATTTTCAAAGCCTAGCAGGTTTGGGCGGGGGAATTGTATGACTGAGTGGTCCCAGCGCACACAAGTGGACAAAGCAAATAGAGTCCAGAATAGAACTGACCTGGATCACATGAAATTTTGCTAAAATGAATATATCTTTGGAGAAAGTTTTTACGAACACATTCTGCATTGACGCCTATGTTGACTGCTGTCGACCTAAGACACACGTACAACTTTACTGTACCTATCGGAAAGTTGTCATGACAGAACTAGGGTTTTCAGTAGGTTGGACAGAAGCTGATGATCACAATTGCTTGCCTGCAGTCCCAAAGGACATCGCAAGACCTCAGCTGCGATTCGACGGATACCACGGCTGTGTCACCTTGATGCGGAGGTGAAGAAGCGTTAAGCAGAGCCGGACAGGCTGAAGCTGCATCAGTGGCCACAAGTTGAGAAAGAAGTGAATGGCCTTTCGGATGCAAATAACCAGAAGGCGGGTTAAAAGGGGAGCGAAGAAAGGAAAGGATCTGTTTATGGGCTGAAGGCCTGTCCACTGTCACTCCGTTTCCTTTTTTTGAGGCTGTCGTGGACTCGTCTCAAGTTCGACAGCCATGACTACTGGTACAAACCCGACTGCGATCGGTGCCTTCTGCTCGCTTCTGTCGGCAGACTTCGGACCGATCGGGTCTAGAGGTGTGTGGCGCCCTCCTCCGAGTAGCGCCGACGAATCGCCTCATCCAACTCGAGGCCTGAGGTCTGCTTGGAGCGGATCAGCTCACGCAACGGTATCCCAGTATCCTCACTGGCCAGAGTCAGGGCGAGCAGATTGCTGCCCGGTCCGAGGCTAGGCCCGTTGGAGAGGCGCAGCTGCGTTTGCCCTGCACTCGGAGTCGGGATGCGGGCTTCGGGGCCGCTTTCGTCGGCGTGAAGAGGGTCGCTGGTTCGAGGCCGCGCCGGCCTGAGGAGGAGGTGAGGCGGAGCCTGCCAACAGGACGACTGCGCCTGTGCCTCTCTTTCGGAGGCGCCATGAGTCGTCTGGTGCCCGGGCGGCAGGGCGGCAGGCTTGACCTGCTTCTCGGAGCGTAGACGAGTCTGGTGGCCCTGGTGACCGGGTGTCTGGCGAACAGGTTTCCCAGAAAGACTGGCGCGAGAACGCAGAGAGCCGGACCGGAAGACTCCCGGCTCGGGCCAC